GCAGTAGATAATGAAAACTAAAGTACATCAATATCTATATTTTTATCTTTTTTATTGCATTTTGTGCCAACTTCATTGCTCTGACTCTCACTTCCCCATGAGTACCCACTAATTTTTTTTCTGAATTCATTTTATTTAAGTTTGTTAAATCAGTAAAAAAAATTTATTATAAAAATCAGTGTTGATCCTAGGTTACCAGTGGCTTAAAGGGAAGGCACAATTTTTAAAGTTTTCCCCGGGGCCATTTTTTGGAGTCCATTATTTCTTACTGAATTGTATCTTATCAGCAATTTTTTAAAAATTATGAAGCCTACCATATATAGAAACTAAAAAGATATGTCTTTTCACTTCTTAAGTTGCTAATTTTGTATATTGATCCATCAAAAATCAACTTTTTATATCTGCAAACAATTCTTTAGGTTTTTTAGGCAGCCATTATGGATAAAATGTGACATTAAAATATTCAATATCAAGGTTTTAACAAAGTAAGCCTACAGTTGTATATAATAAAAAAATCTAGAAGGTTTTCTGAAATTTTGTTTTTAAAATACAGAGCTTCAAAGTATGAACAAAACATGTTTTTGCTAACAGAGTTTTAATTTTTGGAAAAATCAGAAATTTCAAATGGCGATATCTCATGAACCACAAAAAATTGTAAGCTGAAATTTTTAGGAATTGTTTTTCTTATTGATATAAACTAACCCACCAAGTTTCATCAAAATCTGAGGGGTTCCATGTTTGAATCCCAAAATTTCAGTCCATTTGGCATGGAATGACCCCTTTACAATATTTTTTAGATTAACACATATATCATTTATGAATAGTACAGATCTATATATATATATCTATATCTATATATATATATATATATATATATATATATATATATATATATATATATATATATATATATATATATATATATATATATATATATATATATTTAATTATTCACCTCCCCAAGGCCCAAGGGCCACTACAGTCCAGGAGGCTACTCAATTTTTTTTTTTTTTTTTGTAAATTGTGGTACAACCCTCTCTCAACTCTTTAACTCTGAAACACGAACCTTAACAAGCAAGGCCGCTGCGCGGAGAAATTAAGTTGACCGCGGTACTTCCAGGGACGTGGTGGGAGTCGAACTCCAAACCTCTTGCTTACAAAGCGAGCGCTCTTACCACTACACCACTACCGCATAATATATATATATATATATATATATATATATATATATATATATATATATATATATATATATATATATATATATATATATATATATATATTAAACTTAAAGAATTGATGGTCAATGGTTTTTTTTTGGAGAGTCAATATTTTTTTTTTGTTCAAGTTTTAGTAATAGTTCTTCTCAACTAAACTTTATAAATACAACAATAAGGGGTCGTCCATAAAGTATATACGCTCATAGGGGGAGGGGGGAGGTCTTCAAAAAGCGACTGAAAACTTATGGGGGAGGGGGAAGGTTTGATTTAAAAGTACGTACATTGATTTTCTAATTTATCACAATTAACCAGCTAATCAATAGTAAAGTTAAAAATCTGACTAAAGATCTTAGTTTGCCGACATAAAAAGATGTTTGGTATAGGGAGTAGAGGGTATAGTTTTGTTAATTTAAGGAACTTTTTATTTTGCTAAAATAAAAAGTTCCTAAAATTAACAAAAGGACACAAAATTTTCTGCCTTCTTTCTCCTCCCCCCTCAAATTAAGGGGTATGGGTAGTCTATCCTCGGCACTGGGTTTTAGGCTTTGTTTTCGGTATTACTGATCTCACGTAGGACTCTAAATAGGATTTATTAAATAGGGGTGCCAAAAAAAATATTTGCCTTAAGTATAAATTATTTTTATTTGACTCTTCATTAAAACAAAAAAAGTACCGTTTAACTCAACCAGAGATTGAACACGAACCTCTGACACCTTGGTTCACAGCACTAACCGCTCGACCAAGCGGACACTTTGATAATTATATTAAAATTAATATTTGCATATATATTTGAAGACAATTTTGAAATTCAGATCCTGTGCCGCAAACGAGTCGTATAAAGTATCTAAGGTACCTACTCCTTCTTTTTTTTACATAAACTTTTTCATTGAAAAAAAAAGTTTGGGGGAGGGGAGGGGGGAGTATTTCAAAAACGTCTGTACTTTTTAAGGAGGAGGAGGGGGGGGGGAGAGGACCTAGAAGTACGCATGGCAACACAGGGAGGGGGTCAGATTTCAAAATTTTTGGCCTACGTACTATATGGACGACCCCTTATTTAATGCTTGATGGGTAATGAATAAAATTATTTTAATAATAACAATTTTAAATAAAATTAATGTTTTTTTAAAAGCATGAACAGGTAATTGATAATTTTTAATTTATTTAAAAATAATTTTATTGCAATGAATTCGCAAATGGCGGGGAAAGTTGATCAAAAAATAATAGAAAAGATTAAATGAAAAAAAAAAGGACAGCTGAGGATTTAAAGGATTATGTTCTTAATTACATATAATAATTTCGAATAATAATAAAATAAATCTCTGAAATTTAAAAAGAAAAACTTTTGCACTTAAAGAGATTTTAAATAAATATATTGATTTTTTAATAATCCTGTTTTAAAAAAAAAATTGCAAGCACTCAATTAGTAATTTTTAACTTTTCTATAAACCATTCATTCATTGATTTGCAATTTGCGGCAAAATTTACAAGAAAATAAATAAAAAAGATAAGAAAAATAAAACAAATTGACTAAGTGCAGATAAAAGAAAAACTGTTCTATTATTTATTATTAATAAAATAATAAATAATTTTTTTATATTAAAATAATAATAAAATAAGAAGTTCAATCATTTAAGAAAAAGGATTTACGCTATCGGTAAAATAAAATTAATTTAAATAAGTGAGGCAAAAAACTTAACGATTAGTTATACAGCGTTACGCGTAAGTTACTTACGTTACATGCAAAATGTCCGTTAACAAAGCGAATTAATGAATTCAGGGTTGTTAAAGCAGAAAAATTACTGGTTTCTATTAATATGCAATAATTATTAGATAACAGTTTTATCGATGATGAATTTAATGTATATATGAATAAATATATAATAAGGAGGAGAATTAATAATATAAAATTATTTATAAATAATAATTTTTTATTATTGAATTAAATTGATATAAATTATTAAATTTTTAATTTTTAATTATATTGATTTATATATTTATATTGAATTATATTGATAAAAAATAAATTTATTGGAAAATTTTTTAAACAAAGACAAAAACCAGGCATTAAAAAATAAAAAAATTTAAGAAAAAATTTGCTTTAACTTTTTTTCGCTTTAACGACCTGCAATTAAAGTAGCATATCATAAACAAGAAAACTATTTTAAACCTTTTTAAAAATTTAAAAAAATTTATAAAACTTAAGTATAAACATTTTCCAAATAACATCCTAATTATTTGTCAAACATTGTCATAACATTAACTGGCCAACCATGACTGACAAGATTTCATTTTGGGAGGTCAAAATAGCATTTTTAGTCATTTCAGGCGGTCATTGACTGGCCATTATTTTCCACGCTATATATACATATATATATATATATATATATATATATATATATATATATATATATATATATATATATATATATATATATATATATATATATATATTATTTTTTTTAAATTGCGTTTTTCTTGAAATACATAATAAGCATATTAAGGCGTTTTGAAAAACAGCTGCAGCATATATTTATAGTAAAAAAATTTATGTAGCAAAAAAAGACTTTTAATTGTCAAAAGAAAGTTTGATCTAGCTACGGGCTTTTTTTTTTTTTTTTTTTGCCTCCATAGCAGTACCTTCTGAAGTAACAGGACTGTCTTATTAAGTTTTTTCTTTATTATGTTTAAGGCAACTTTTTTTTCAGACCATCCGCAGCTTATTTGGATTAAATACCTGAGCACATCAACAACATAAGTATCTCAAACATGGCACATACGTAACAAATTTTTTCTCCCTGTGTTTTGATGTTTTTAGAAATTTTAGCTTTTTAAAAATCTTTTTGTTAAAGTGTATATTATTATATGTTTGTATATAATCACTATAAAACTTCAAAAGTATTTTGTATTTTAAAATTTTGAAAAAAATAAAATAAAAAGTTGCCAATGTTAGGACTCAAACCACAGCTGTATGAACATTGTATGATCCTCACAGATCCTTAATTGATAGTGTCAGATTACCATTCCATTAAACATCAGATCCATAAAGGGATCCCAAACCCCCGAGACATCTTATGTTCATATTAAAGAGAATGATAAAAAAAAATGTTTGGGCTAAATTTTTTTTGATTAAAACAAAAGAATAAATGAATACCAAGAAAAACTAACTATTTTATTATAGTAGCTCACTTTCTCCATTTTATTGTAGGCCTAAAAGTCAGTGTAATATATGCCACAATCTACAGACTTGATAATTTAATAAAGCGCGTTTTATTCTTAAGAGTTTTAGTTCATGACGTCATTTACATTTTGTTTGTTTGCATAATCCATCTCCTGCGCAAACAAAACAAAATCAATAATGTCATGTACTAAAACTCTTAAGAATAAAACGCGCTTTATTAAATTATCAAGTCTGTAGATTGCGGCATATATTATGCTGACTTTTAGGCTTACAATAAAACGGAGAAAGTGAGCTTTTACTAAAATAAAAAAGTTAACTTTTTTTTTGGTATATATTTATTTTTTTGTTTTAATCAAAAAAAATTTAGCCCAAACATTTTTTTTATCATTCTCTTTAATATGAACACAACATGTCTCAGAGGTTTGGGATCCCTTTAATAATATCAAAAAAAAGTTCTTCAAAAGTATATCATGTTGGGTCTCAAAAGTAGCAAAATTTAAAAAAAAATTTCAAAAATCATCATCATTTTATAAAAAAAAATATTTTCAATTTAAATAAGTTAGGTAGGTAAATAAATTGACAGATATATTAAATAAGATTACCCGATCTATCTGGAACTCCTTTTATAACTTTATCATGAAAAAATATACTTTCGTCACTCTTGTTCTCAAGCAACCCACTAAAATTATTTAAAATTAAAAAATACAACACACAAAAATTATTCAAAAAAGTATTCAAAATATAACTTTAATTATCTAAGTTTTCAACACAATTGAATTTTAATACATCATATTATTCTGTATAACAAGTGCTACATAAACTATTATAATTAAAGTATTAAAAAAAAGATTTTTTTAAAATTCTCATTGCAATCAAATTTCCTAAAGATCTATTTGATCTATAAGTTACAAATTACATGTATTATTTTATTGTATGAGCAATAGTAAAAAAAAAGTCTCATGGGAAAAGAATCTAGAATATAGAAACCAAATATTTTTGGAAGTTTCTTAAACAATGGTATCAAAAAAAAAGGTGCAATAACTATTTTTAATAAAAAAAATTTTATATCTAACAAATTTAAAAAAAAATTTAAGTAACCAATCCAAAACTAAGTTATTGCAAAATAATTTAAATTTTCAACAAAAAATTTAAATTTAAATAACAGAATGCTATTGCAGCTTTTAACAAGGTTCATAGAAGATGGTTCATAGAACAAGATTTGTAGTACAAGGTTCACAGAACAGGGGGGGTACAAAGTTAACAAATAAAAGAAGTTTGTTGGTTTATAAAAAATATTGATTTTTATGATGAATTAAAGTCTTTCATCATCAAACTTTTATGATGAAAGTCGGAAGTATTTAGTAGGAAGTAAAACAATTTCTGTCAAAAAAATGTTAGTTTAAAAAAGTTTGACCATTACTTTTTCATAAAAAGATTGCTGCAGTAAAAGTGGTTTATCATTTTTGCTTATATTAATTTCAAAGCATTAAAATTTAATTTTAATGCAGAAAAAATTACCTAATATCTCAGACCATTTGCATGGTTTGAATTTTTCATAATGCTTTTTTTTTTATTTAGACTTGATATTATGAAAAAGTAGATGCATTTGTTGGATGTCTTACCAGACATTATTCTGTTTTACAGATCAAAATTGAGTTTTTTTATTGATACTAGAAGAATTAGCAACCAAGATTTACAGGCTCTTTCTACCCTTACAATAAAATTGAGATTTTATATCAGTTTTCCTTTCCCTAAGAATGTTGTCTTCATCACAGCTAAAGAGACTCACTTAACCCTATAGGATCAGTTTAACATTAGTTTTTTTTTTGATTTAAATAGATTAAGAATTAGACATTATCAGAGTAGTTTCTATAAGTAGGCTAAAACAAGCATAAGACTATTTGGAGAAAGGTTTCAGTTAGTTTTGTTCAAAAAGTGATATAAAACTTGCATAAATACCAAGTTGAGGATATAATGTCAATTATAATTAGGACTGATGATAATGATGATGATGATGATGATGATGATGATGATGATGATGATGATGATGATGATGATGATGATGATGATGATGATGATAATGATGATGAACTATATTTTATTACATTTATTATGTCCTGGCTAGAAAACTATATACAAACTCATCACTGACTAAAATCAAGCTTGCTTAGTTGCCCATAATTTTAATTTAACTTGTAATCTAAATAAACCTAGATAAAGTATAAACAAAATAAAGAGTAAATAAACAGGAAATATATAGGTACTAGGTTGCAGGAGCAAAAAATGTTGCAAGAATACAAAATGAGTGTAATGTGATATTACAATTTTTACTTAGATGATAAGATTTGTTTTATTATTGTTACAACTTTTCAAGTAAGGAAAGGAGCAATAACTCAAATTGAATGTCAAAAAACTCCTACATTAAAAATTCAGTTTAAAACATTAGTTATTTTGAATGAATAATCTATTTAAAAAAAAAACTTTATTAATTTTTAAAAATTTTAATCTAATTTAATGTAAAATTTAAATCTAATTTAAAAAATTTGTAAAACTTTTTTAAAAAAAACTAAATTTTATTTAGTAAATAAAATTAATTTTAAATAGATTTATATTTAAAGATCTTATTTAAAAATATAAAATCTATTTAAAGACTTATATTTTTTAATTCATTATAGTACATTACACTATAAAATGACATGTATTAACAACAGTTTAAAATATATTAAATACCCAGTTCTCTCCTCTCGTCTAACATTGTCTAAATGTTCTTCTACATCAGCAATATCGGTGTGTTTTCTCCAACTTTTTTTTGACTTTTTACTACCTTTGTATTTATGTGTTTTAATTCCAGCCATATTTACCATGTGAGATTGAGTAAATTAAAAGTGTGTAACGTCGCCGAGGCAAGCTTTTTAAAATCCGACGAAAATAAAATAAAAAGTCAATGAAGAAAAAAACAAAACAAAAAACAAACAAATAGAGCAAAAATCAATAAAAAAGGGAATTTTATTTTGGTGGACATTTCTCTACTAGGTATTTGCGGGCGCTAAAAACTTAACTGCTTCTGCCGTAAATGATTTTGGGCCCGACCGGATTTTTTTTGTGTAAAAAGTATATTTATTTTGATAAATGCAAATATTACAAACCTATTAAATTATCTATTTATCGCAAATTATTTTTTAAAAAAGTCTAGTCCTAAATATTAATTACATGGAAAAAAAAGTGCTACAATATAAATTTATAAAAACTCAGATTCTTGCTTCTAGAGCATCTTAAAATCAACACCGATTTCAAAATCATTTTTTTTCGTCCATGGTGTTCTTGAACCTCTTAAAAAAGGATAGTTGAGCGAAGTATCTCGAAAGATAACTTCGTTTTTAACCACGTCATAACAATTGAGTTTGCTAACAAATGCAAATTTACAATTGCAGGTAAACGAAGCATTTAAATTGTTAGTTGTTAAAAAAAAATCTTGAAAAAAAAATAAAGTTTCAACCAGAACTTGCAACACATTAGGGTTTTTTAATATGTTCGACACTGTTCCGAAGATTTTTTCTTCCGATAAAAAAACAGTTGGCTTTACTTCTAAATAAAAAATAATTCCTTTTCTGATTGAAACTTTATCTTTTCAAGATTTTTTTTTTTAATAATTAACAATTTAAATGCTTCGTTTACTTGCAATTGCAAATTTGCATTTATTAGCAAACTCAATTGTTATGACTTCACTCAACTATCCTTTTTGTTGCAACTTGCAACAACAAAAAAATGAGTTTTGTTACAAATAGTAAAAAGAATGTTTTCGCAAATAGTAAAAAAATAATGTAGTAATCAATATATATTTACTTACTCGGTGTAGTTTCGGCAATTTTAAAATTTTGTAGCGTCTGTATGATATTTTATTGACTACGACATATTTCCGTTAGATGATCAGCAGCCGTATTCTCATGTCTCCGTTAAGCTTAACGGAGAGATGAGAATACGGCTGTTTACGACATATTACGACATATTTCCGTTAGATGATCAGGTCTGTGAATTATGAAAAGACGAAAAAAATTAGAATGATTTAATTTGTGGTATCAAAATATTAATGTTTGTAGCAAAAAAAAAAACCACGGAAAATTCTTTTTTTTTTTAAAAAAAAAAAATCGGCCGAAGCCAAGGTCAGTTTTTACCGAAGCAGTTCGGTAAAAACTGACCTTATCGGCGAGTTTTTTTAGGTAACTAAAGGTAATAAGCTACTGTTATATTAAACATAAAATAATTTTATTGCTTGGAATATAATTACTATAATTCTACTACTTGTAATTTGCTCCTTGACTTTGATTCCTTGACGTATGCCGGGGCATATATAGTATACATTGCGACGTGCCGCAAACTATATTGTTATTTTTTTTTATTTTTATTTTCCTACTTATCAAAATTAACGGATACTTTTTTATATTATTGGTAAAAATTGGTGGCAGCATGCTGCAATAATTGTATGCATACTAAAACACTTTGAAAGCGCTACGAAAGGTAAGAGCAGACAAATTAGAGATCATACCGTTTCTTGACTAAACTTCGGGTTAATCAACTGGAATCAAAACTGTTGTTGATGAACTTAAAACTGATTTTAAAATTCATTTTCATAAATACAAAGATAATGCTTGTCTGAAAATTGCAATGATTCTCAAACCCCGTTTCAGATAAAAAAAATTTAAGAAACAGATCATAGCATGTTTAAGGAAATTTTATATCAAGGGTACTACCGCTTTCATTTGGAGTATCGTATACTGGAAATATATTTTATATATTTAAATATATTTGGAGTATACATATACTGGAGTATATGTATACTCTAAATGAAAGCGATATACCGCTTTTATTTAGAGTATCGATACTCCAAATGTATACAACAAGTAAGCAAACTTTATATCAAGGGTACTATAGTACCCTTGATATAAAGTTTGCTTGCTTGTTGTAAATGATCATTTACAACAAACAAAAAAAGTTAATTTTATTAAAGACTACGATCGTAATGGTCCAATCAAAAAAGAAAGCATGTGCATGTACACCTTATTAAACCAAATGGGTATAAATGAAAATGCTTCACAGAAATATGATGAAGGGGAAAAAAATTGGATGGAGGGGAAAATAAGTATAATAGTAAAAATCCTAGAGGAAAAAACTTTAAAAAAAAAAATTGGTACGAATAAAAAATATCTAAATAAAATTATAATTTTTTTTATTTATTAAAAACTTAATTAAAAATTGATGTTAATTTTCAAATTAATTATTATGTTGCATTCAGCCCTATTAATAGAAGTTTATTAACAAGTTTAATTTGCACACCAGAATTGCTGTACACAAAATTATACTATTTATATTATGGAAAGATTACTGCAAGCAGGCATAAACTATATACAGGCAGGCCTTGTCTTTCTGTCGTTACGGGTCTGGTTGCATTTAATATTTTTAATTTTTTATTCAAAATATTATTATTTATCAACTATAAATGTTTATAATAAGTTGAATAAGAGTATTCTTTTTTTTCTTACATGAATAAAGATTTAAAATATTAGTTTAAATTTTAAATTGCAGGGGCGGATCCAGGGTGTCGCGAATGATGCGCATGCATCAGTCTTTTTTCACCGCTAAATTTAACTCTTTTTTACTTTTTTTTCTTAATAAAAAGTAAAAGGAGAAATTAGAATCTGGTATTCACAAAAAAAGAAAAACTTGTTTTAAACTCGAAAAAAATTCATTTAAAGTCAATTTTATTTGATCTCTATAGTTACTTATTTTATACTTACTTCCAACTTTCCTTTAATTGAAATAGTTTTAAGCGATAAAGAAATGTCATCTCCCTGGATTACTAAAGGTATCAGAAAATCATCAAAAATTAAGCAGAAGCTATACATTAAATACCTAAAATAAAAATCAGAAAAACATAAACAAAATTATAAAACTTATAAAAACTTATTTGAAAAGCTTCGCAAAAATGCAAAAAAAAACTACTATTCAAACTTGCTTAATAAATATAAGCACAACTCAAAACGCGTCTGGCAAATCATGAAGGAGGTGTCTGGAAAATTTAAACCAAATAAAAATTTACTCCCAAATTTTATACAAATTGAAAACAAATTAATAAATGACCCAAATGATATTGCATTTGAATTTAACAAGTTTTTCTCCACTGTCGGGACAAAACTAAGCGATAGTATTTCATTCATTAAAGATAAATCTGTTGACGAGTTCGAAACATCAATAAGTCTAAATCTAAATTTTACTGAGTTAGCTTTTAATGAATTTGAGGTTGCTTTTAAGTCATTAAAACGAAATAAAGCTACTGGGTATGATGATATTAACACAAATATTGTGATTGATTCATACGATGTTATAAAAGATATTCTTTATAAAATCTTCAGAGCATCCATTTCACAAGGGTCTTTTCCAGATAAACTCAAAATAGCGAAAGTAACTCCAATCTTCAAGACAGGGGATCGTACAAATATAACAAATTATCGCCCTATTTCAGTTCTTCCAGTTTTTTCAAAAATTTTAGAAAGAATAATGTACAACCGAATCTACTCTTATCTTGTTGAAAATAAAATTCTATACGAAAACCAATTTGGTTTCAAAAAAAATAATTCAACCGAGCATGCCATTCTTCAACTTACGCGCAATATAACCGACTCATTAAAAGACTCTTGTTTTACACTAGGAGTGTTTATTGATTTGTCCAAGGCATTTGATACCGTCAATCATCAAATCCTGTTAAAAAAACTAATATCATTTGGTATTAAAGATAAAACCCTATTATGGTTTGAAAGTTATCTTACTAACCGTAAACAGTTTGTTTACAATAAAGATTCTATATCTCATCTATTAATGAATATAACATGTGGTGTTCCACAAGGATCCATACTTGGTCCTCTTATTTTTTTAATATACATAAATGATCTTCATAAATCATCAAATTTAACAACAATAAATTTTGCAGATGACACAAATTTGTTTTTGTCTCATAAAGATATTAATATGCTTTTTACAAGTATGACAAATGAATTAAAAAAAGTTTCTGTTTGGTTTAAACAAAATAGATTGTCTCTAAATATAGAAAAAACTAAATGGACACTTTTTATCCACCTTTAAAATACCAGAAACTGCCCCATATCATGCCAGACCTTCTAATTGATAATATAATAATAAAAAGAGAAAAAGTTACTAAATTTCTTGGAGTATATATTGATGAAAACCTCTCTCGGAGAAATCATATTGATAATACCTCCAACAAAATTGCTAAATGCATCGGAATTCTCTATAAAGCAAGAAATATATTAAGTAAACACCAGTTAACACAATTACATTATTCATTTATACATTGTCATATAAACTACGCGAATATTATATGGGGAAGCACTCACAGAACAAAGCTAAAATCTCTTTACCTTCATCAGAAACACGCAACTCGCGTAATAAATTTTAAAAATCGGTTTTTTCACACGAAACAACTTTTTAAAGAAATGAATATTTTAAATGTATATCAACTAAATGTCTTTAATGTTTTATGTTTCATGTTTAAATGTAGAGAAAATTTGTCGCCAAATGTATTACAAAATTTTTATTGTATGAAACCTAAAAACAAATATAATTTTCGAATTAATAACAGTCTTATTGCCCCTTTTTGTCGTAAAAGCAAAGACCAGTTTTTTGTTTCTTACCGAGGTCCTTATCTCTGGAACAAAATAGTCTTACCAAATTTTGATTTTTCAACCCAAATGACTTTTGCTTCATTAAAACAGAAACTTAAAAAAATTATATTTTTAATTGAAAATATCTTGATTTATTTTTAATTGTCTTTTTTTTTTTGTTTTGTTTTTGTTGTTGTTTTATTTTGTATATTATTTGGTTTAAAATTTTATCTTGACTTTTTAACATTTTATCTTGGTTTTTAAATATTTTTGCATAGAGGTGTATTATTATTTCACTACAGACATTGTATTTTTATTAAAAGTTAACCATATATTGTAAAGGGCTTCATGACAAGATCCTCATGATCTTCTAGAAGTCCTGTCGTTACTAATGTAAAAAATTGTAAAATATATTTAGTTATTGTAATATTAAACGGCAAAAATAAAAAATAAATAAAAATAAAAAAAAAAAAAACTTATTCGATCTCTATAGTTACTTATTCGTTACTTAGACAAAATTCCTGCGTTTTGGAGCAACTGATGCAACTAAATACAAATGTGATTGGTTTTAAAAAAAAAAAGTACGTTTTAACCAATCATATTTGTATTTTTTCACAAATTTTTCCGATCACTTTGTAGCAACTGATGCAATTGTACTCTAAATCATTATTGATTGGTTAAAAAACAGTTTAAACCAATCACTATTTAATAAAATAACAATTGCATCAGTTGCTTCAAAACTTCCGCAGAAAACTTTACGAAATGTTATTTATAACCAATCAAATTTGTAGAAAGTTTAGAACAATTGCACCAGTTGCTCCAAATCGTTCAAATTTTACAAAATTCTGATATGCCGCCTGATATACGTTCTTCGTTCGTAATTTTCGTCGTTGGACTTTGCTTGTAAACTAAAGTTTAAAAAAAAAAATGAATTTGTTAGTCTCAAATGCAATTAAGGCTAGACATTTGCCAAATATTCGCAAATCTAAAAACCAGTTGACTGAAGAATTGAAAGTTTTAAATAATAAGAGTCCAGTTCAGCCACATAGTCAGTCTTCTGAAAATACTGAAATGGATCGTTTTATCCCAAAGCAAGAAGATACTAAAGATTATGTTGCTTTAAGGTAAAACCCTATTATTAAAGTTAATGGTATTTTATATGAAGATGGAAATTGCCGGCAATTTCCATCTTCAGATGACCTTAAATAAAATAAAAAGTAAAGGCATGCCTCTGGCAACTGTAGAGGCATGCCTGTACAGTTCAGCTTCTCTTTTAAGCAATTCGTCTCTGAAGACAGTTAATGTATTGAGGCTTCTAACTTCGATTGAATTGTTTGAAAAAATTTGCTACTATGCGAGGTACTCCCTTTTTGTTAAATAGGTTAAAAACAATAATTTTTCTAATCTTTCCAGTGTTCTAGTAGCCTGTGTTTCTTTTGAATGTTCAGATCAATTTAAATTAATTAACAGTGAATCTGCTTCTGAAATTATAATAATGGAAGCATTGATCAACTGCCGAGCTAACAAGTTTTCTTCATTTTTAATGTCTAATTGCTTTGTCATCAGTTTTATATGTTCCTATTAGATCAATTTATACTGATTTTGGCTTAGAAAAATTCAAAAAAAAATTTTAATACAATTATTTTTCCATTTCGTTCAATTAAAAATCAAGATCAAAATGTTTTAAATATTTTATGGTGTAATACTGATATTATGTCAGTGATGCAAAATAATGATAACTGGACACCGAACCATTTTGTACCAATTATTAAAAAACCTAAACTAATTTCTAGTAATAATTAGAATTTGGCTATAAAAAACGATACTACTTATCCTTTACACTTTTTTAGTCCTAAAACTGAAACAAATAAAAAAAAACAACTTGATTCTGCAAAACATGTCAAAATTTAATCTAAAATTAACTTTAAAAAAGACAATGCTTTCATAGAGTTGCCTTTTGAACCTTCTGTAGATTCAAAAATAGTTGTCATTAGACTCCAACTCAGTTATTAATCCTTCATATAATGAATTAAATTCTTTGTATGGTGTTTCAGCATATCTTGTTCGAGGTAAACTTTTAACTGCTGTCAAAGATGATTCTATTTTGTTAGATATGGTAAACAAAGTATTTTGTCCTAATTCTATGTTTTTTTTCCAATATCTTTTAATACAAAAAGATCATTTAAATTTGAATGGCTCAGCCAGTTTTCTTGGTTAGCTTATTCTAGCAAAGAAGATGGAGCTTACTGTCTTCCTTGTACTTTGCTAGGTGCTAGTATTCCAAATAAGTCTAGAATATTAAATTTAGTTTTCAAGCCCCATCAAGAGTGGGGTAATGCTGTTCGTGATTATAGAAAACATGAGGAAAGTTGTGTTTTAGATGAAAAACCTATGCTTTTATTTAATGCATTGCTTTCACGTTGCAACTCCAAAAATAATGTTATTGAGGTTGATTTAAATAATTCTCGTTTGAAACTTCTTTCTGATAACCAAAAAAAATTAGTTCCAATAATTAAAACAATAATATTTCTTGGTAGAAACGATCTAGCATTTCGTGATGCTAGCAAATATCATCCTGATATTGGGGAATCTTCTACACAAAAAGTTGGAATTGGTAACTTCATAAAGCTTTTAAATTTTTGTGTTGATGCTGGTGATCAAATATTAGCTAATCATCTTTCTTCAAGTCCAAAAAATGCAACCTATATATCAAAAACTACCCAAAACCAACTTATTGATTTTTGTGGGAAAGCAATTGAGAAAGTTTTAATAAAAAATGTCAAGTATTCAATTTTTTTTGCAATTCTTTGTGATAAAGCAGTTGACTGTTCAAATACTAAACAAATGTCACTTGTTTTAAGATATGTAAATTCAAATAATGAGATTTGCGAGGATTTCTTAAGATTTATTGATTGCAAGACTGGTACATCTGGTCTTAGTCTCTAAATGTACTTAATGCACTTTAAGAATTTAGACTTGATATTCAAAATTGTAGAGGCCAAGGGTATGACAGTGCGGGTTTTATGGCAGGTAAATATGAAGGAGTTGCTTCTCAAATAAAAGCTCTTAATCATAAAGCTATATTTGTTCATTGTGCAAGCCATAGACTTAGTTTAGTAGTAGCAGCTGCATGCCAAGTTCAAAAAGTAAAAAATCTTCTTGGCCAAGTAAAAGAAATTTCTTATTTTTTTAACTTATCTCCTAAACTAGTAACTGTCTCAAAAAATATTTAAGTCCAAATCAAGAAAAAATAATAGATACTTGTCGAACAAGATGGGTTCAAAAGCTGAGAGGTCTTGATGTTTTTTTTTTGATAATTTTATACCTATTATTCATGCTTTAGAGGAGATGGGGTTAAATGAGTCAAAGGAATTTAGCAGTGAAACTGCTTCCAAATCCTCTTCTTTTTTAAGATTTTTCTTTTATTGTAAGTTTAGTTATTACAAAACAATTAATGGATTTTTTTAATGCAATAACTGTAACTCTTCAAACTAAATCTTTTGACATATCCCAACAGTGTTTTGAAATAACTAATCTAAAAAATCTGTTATTAGAAATTAAAAATAAAATTGATATATATCACGCTGAATGGTACGCTATCGCTCTTAGTTTGGCCAAAACTCTTGATATATAAGAAGTGAGACCTAGATCGTGTAATGTCCAGGTTTACCTGGACATTACACGATCTAGGTCTCACTTCTTATATATCACGATGATTCTTTTTATGTGAAAGAAGTATTTCAGTTATACGTAGGTTAAAAACATTCTCTAGAAGTAATATGATAGAGTCTCGCTTTAACTCTTTAGCATTAATGTCTATACATCAAGAAATTCTTCCAGATGTTGAAAGAGTCATTGACATTTTTTTCAAAGTCAGGTGACGTTTAGACTTTTATTTAGTGGCGTACTAACTTTTATTTTACTTTTTTCTTATTTCTAATTTGATTTTTACTAATATTGTGTGTGATTTTTACTAATATTGTGTGTGTGTGTGTGTGTGTGTGTGTGTGTATATATATATATATATATATACATATATATATATATATATATATATATATATATATATATATATATATATATATATATATATATATATATATATATATATATATATATATATATATATATATATATATATATATATATATATGTCCAGAAGTGGAGGGCCAACCTTAGGCAATATTACTTTACACTCCAGAAATGGAGGGCTAACCTTGGGCAAAATGACAGTATACAGATGAAGTGCAAAGTCCTATGGCTTACCTTCTCGTTGGTGCACTTTGTTAAGTAAATTAGGCTTAAAATTACATGTCTAATTTATGAACAAAATAGCCAAGGCAACATTTGAAAAAATTTCTGCTAAAAATGGATACTGCAAAAGCAATACAAAGTTAAGTTATTATTCAATGATATAAACAGCGGCGCCACTAGTAAAAAAAGCTGTTTCTCCACTTTTTATATTGACTTAAACCCTAGAGAGGTTGCGGGGGGTGAGGGGTGGGGGGTGGAGACGTCGATAAAAAAAATTTCGCATCACCCATTTAAAATGCTAGATCCGCCCCTGAATTGGTTCATAATTTTGATTCATCATGGACGAAATCAACTTCGACTTTAGCCTGTCAATATTACTAAAAAATGAATGCCTTTTAAAAGTTGTGGGGTGTTTACAATTACACCTGCTCCAATAAAGACACTAACAAGTGAGATTTATCAAGGTTCTAAATGAAAAATGCGCTAAAAAAGGTTCTTAATGAAAAATGCGCTAAAATACATATATTTTACAATATGCTGTACATTTAATAATTGTAGTAAAATGTTAAAAAATGTTTTTCTGCAGATAATATTATTCCTAGATAGCTAGATCTGCAAGATAGCAAATTTTACCTATGTAAGTGCAAAAGCTTCGGCTTCGGCAGAGTGACTTCGCAAAATCTTAGCATCCCTAGAAAAAAGGTTTTGAAAATTATAAAAAAAAAGAAAAGTTTCTTTAAATATTGAAAAAACCTGAAGAAAAAAAATTATAACATCTTATGCTCTTGTTTGGACATGATACGTTGATAAAATCATGCTAATTCCAAATAAAAGAATTCGAATAATTTGTAAATCGCCTTAACTACACCGAGTAAATATAAAAAACCAGAAAAAAGTTAAAAACTTAAAAAAAATTTAAAATTGAAAAATTGTCAGCCCAATCCATAACCCTCAGTCTTTGTACACTTTTTGCATATATTATAACTATTTAGTCAGTATTGACAAAGTAAATACATCGACTGGTATAAATTGGTAGAATATGCAGGGAGTGTATATACATCGACTGCAGTCAACATGAGTGTACATACTGATGTAAGTACACTTCCTGACATACATCAATGTACATACATCGACTGCAGTCGATGTTTGTACACTTCCTGCATATTCTGCCTAATTATACCAATCGATGTATTTATTTTATCTTCGACACTATTCGTTAAACTTATTTGTGACATGATTCTTTATTCTGCTTTTTGTCTTAATTCATTAAACTCTTTCCAACATTATTCCTAAAAATTTTTTTTATTGTTATAAATTTTTTTATTTATCTACACCATCATCGTCCCGCATGGTCTAGTGGCTAGGATTTCTGGTTTTCACCCAGGCGGCCGGGGTTCGATTCCCCGTGCGGGAGTATTTTTAATGATGTTTTTTAATATTTTGAAAATATTTAAAGTAGGAATACTTAAGAACTATTATTTGAAAAATATTGGCAAAATCTGGAAGTTATGTCTTCAAAATACCTAGTTATTTAGATATTTTGCAGAAAATACTGAAACCACCCCACTTGTAACTTTTTACTTGTAAATTCCTACCAATTGAGGAGCCATCCATAAAGAGGGGGATGGGGGAAGTATTTGGTTGGTTAGTGGCAGCCGACGACTAGCCACTACATCACATATTGACAATTAAATGGATGGCGCTAATAGTCACGAATGTTCCTCTAAGTATGAGCACTGATAAGCAAAACTCTAATGGACCGCTAAAAATGCCTATATAGGTCCACTGCAAATCCACTACAATAATGATTGTTGGAAATGTTTATATCTGGAGAAGAACATGGAAAGAAAATGAGTTCAGAGCAGGTTCACCAGCAGCTGAGAACAAAATTAAAGCTGAGTAAATATGTAAAAACTCAACAAGTTCGATCATTATACTCTAGGCACGTAAATTAAATCAGTGGCAGATTAAGACTTCCTGAGGCCCAGGGCTATTTTTGCTGGAGGCTATTTTATGGGCCAGAGCCTAAAAATGTCAAAAAAAAAAGGTCCTCTAAATTTTTTGAGGGCCCCTAAATTTGCGGGGCCCGGGACTATAGCCCCCCCCCTGATCCGGCACTGAATTAAATGGAATATTTACTAAAATCCAAAGTATGCATGATATAAATTGTGACTTTTTTTTCCCTTGGGACTTAAGATAAATTATTTTACAACTTCCTTTAAGCTTTAAGTATATTTTTTTAGACGAAGTAAACAAAAAAGCTTTTTTTGTGAAGATGTACTATTAACTGAATACTGGATTGATGCACTGATGATGCAATACATACAAGATGATGATTGGGTTGTTAATGAATATTATATGCAATGGTATCCTGCAATAGTTCGAAATGTAAGACGTTCTAAGGCTATAATATTTTATTTTTGAGTACTAGATCTCCTTTATAAAGATATATAAATAATAATTTGTTAACAACACTATTTAAATGTAGGAAATGTTCAGAAAGCACAGTGTTTTTATTTTATCATTTAAAATTTTCATTTTAATTGATAGTGCTTCATGATTAAAAGTTGTTTTATTTTTAATTTAACCTTTAGCTCAATGACAATAATAGTTAAATTTTTCATATGTATTTCAACTACTGCAGCTGGAAAGAACTGCTTCAAATGCCCAATCAAGGAGAAGAAAGGGTTGCATGCAAGTTATTAATATTTTTTTTTATGTATAAAATCAATGTATCCCATAATGGCTTTCAAAAACAATTTAGAAATTTATGTGCAAGTAATGGCCTTTTGAGATAATAATGCTTAAGTACGGGTAAAACTTCAAATTTAGTGGTTTTGAACCGTGATTACAAAAAGTGAAATCATATTGAATTTTTAATTTTACTGCAGAAATGTACCCTAAATATATAAAGTATTGGACAAAACATTTTCAACCAACATCGAACAATGCTAAAAGGTGTTCCTAATTTTACATGTCTTAAAAACGAAACAAACTATGATAACACAGCAGTCTGGAGTCATAGCATGCTATGAAATGAGCAATCAGCTGACAGGTGACAGCACACAGGCAGAATTTCGTTGACAAGTGCCATTTTGCAGCGGACAAAATAAGGGCAACTTTTTTGGTTTGTTTCATTTTCTTAAGTCTGGTCCGTGTCAACGTCACGGAAGTTTTTTAATAAATAGAGGAAGTATCCAGAAGTTTCCAAGCGCATACAGAAGCTTCCAGAAGTTTCCAGAAGCATCTGGAAGCATCCAGAAGTATTCAGAAACATTCAGAAGCATCCAGACGCATCCAGAAGCTTCCAGAAGCATCGAAAAAAAGCATCTAGAATCTTCCAGAACAGGTTCACACAGGTTCATTTGACTATATACGAGACATGTAATTCAGTCAGCATATGGAAGTCAATCAGTCAGTATTATCAAGACAGTGTATCAAAGTAAGTTTTATCAAAGTGTTTTATCGAAGAACATCATTACAAGAAATTCAATCAAGTGTTTCATTACATCAATACAGTCCACATCCAATCAAGACACAGAGCATTAATGTATCATAACAAGGTAAATGTAACACGGTAAGCCTTGAGAAGCGTGATTATTTATTTTTATTATTCTTTTGACTTGAAGTGCAAAAATGGCTCCCAACAGTCTTGGATTGGAACTAAGAAAGAAAATTATTGGCGATTACGTAAGTGGAATGTCACAAAAAAGTATTTGTGATAAACATCGCGTAAAAAAATGGACCGAATCAAGACTATGTTCCAAATATCGTTCTACGGAGAAGTTGGCAGCAGATAACAAAGGTGGAAGACCGCGTCCCGCCACTTCTAGAGAGGATTCTATGATCGTCAGATCAGTCAAGAAGGATCCCTGGATATCATCAGTCAAGATACAAAATCAATTAGAGCTGCCTGTATCTGACTGAACAATCAGACAACGTGCTGTTGCAGCTGGAATGTTTTCTCAACGCCCAGCAAAGAAACCGCTGATTTCACTAAAGAACTAGAAAAAAAGACTCCTGTTCGCTACATCTCATATTGACTGGAATGTGTAGAAATAGAGAACTGTCCTATCAGTGATGAATCGAAGTTCAACATCATTG